GGGCGCGGGTCACAGGGCAGGGATCGGGCCCGTCTCCTCCTGGGGGCGGTGGGGCTGGGACAGGCCGGAGGATGCTGCGGAGCCCGAGCCTGCCCCGCTGGCCTGTATTTAACACGCATCCTCCCCGGGCTCCCGGCGTAATGGGCCACACATGGCACTGACAGGGCTGCAGTCCCGAGCCAGCTCCCGCCGGGCAGGCTCAGCCAATCCGGGCGCCGGCGCCGCGCGGGGCTAAGTGATGCAATTAATAAAATCATTTTCTATCCCGCTAAGGAGATAACGACTTGGCACAGCGGAGCCGCCCGTTCAGCACCGGCAGCGCCCGGCCAGGCCGGCAGGGGAGGGCCAGGGAGGCATGAGGCTGCTCCCACGCTAGGGGGCAGTGTCTCCCAAAGTCTGGCTTCTGCTGGAGCTGCACAGAGAAGCCGGCTGGGCTCAGAGGGCACAGCAGCTGCCAGCGCTGACTCCCAAGGCAATGCCCACACACTGCCCCCCAGCCGCACCTGCACCCGCTCCGGTGCACCCCCAATGCTCAAAGCCCATGCATCTCCCCCACATGCACCCACAGCTCACCCAGTGCACCGGCCCATGCGCGCATCCCCCATGCATACACACCCTCCTGCACACACACCCCCGACACACACAGCACACACCCATGCACCTCCCGATGCCCATTCCTGTGCATATATACACTCCTGCACACACACACCTTGGCATACACCCCTCCATGCATGCATCCCCCAGTGCATACAACCTCCCCGTGCGCACACACCCCGGCATACACCCTCCCTCTGTGCATACACTCTCCCCCTGTGCACACACCCTCCCCCGTGCACACACATCCATGCACTTCCCGATGCCCATCCCTGAGCACTCCTGCACACACACACACACACACTGGCTAGACCCCTCCCATGCACACATCCCCCCCTGCACACACACCCCAGGCCCACCCCTGTGCATACACACACTCCTGCATGTGCACACACACACACGGCATATACCCCCACCATGCATGCATGTCCCTCATGCATACACCCCCCATGCAAACATACTCTGCTCACATACACTCCGAGCATACACACACACCCCCATGCACACACACTCATGTACACGTCCCCCATGCCCATCCCTGTGCGTACACACACTCCTGCACACACACCATGCATATACCCCACCCCCAGGCATACTTCCCCCATGCACGCACCCTTCTACACATACACACTCCTGCACGCACCCCCCCATGCACACACACACTCCTGCCCAGGCACACCCTGCCCAGGCACGCACTCCTTGCACGCACACATCATGCCCCCCCTCTGGGCATACCCCTCCCCCACCCACATGGGCGGGCAGAGTGCCGGGGCACTGGGAGTGGCAGGGGGGGG